AAGCTGATGTTTTATGTTTGCCCTACCAACCATTCAGCCTGCTGGAGGTCTGCTTGGTTTTTTTTACTTTGCATTCCCTTTCTAGGTTTGCATAGAATAGATTTTCAGTTATAACTCTGTGCTGCTCAGTTTCTTTTGCTGCCATTTGAAGGTGAGAGGTTGTCAGCATGGGAGTTTGTAGTCTCTGCTCTTTTTGAGGAAAAGGTTGGTTTCATTTTGTTTTGTGCCTGGCTTCATTATCTCCACCTTCGCAGTCAGATCAGCAAGTAAGATGAAAGTTTGCAATCTGCCCCCTTTCCCTAGTTTGGAGGAGGAGGACATAGTCCTTGACTTTGAAGGAGGATGGTACATTATATTTCAACATAAGCAATTTTTCCCTGGCTTTACTGGCCAGTAAAGGCATATGTGGATTTATATGAGCAATAATAATGTGCACTTCAATTTTTATCCAAAGAATTCAAAGTGCTTTACAACCTTTAATGAGGTACCCCTCACATCCCATATGTGAAGTGGACAAAAGATACATACACTTAAGTTCTCACACCTCTGAACTGCAGCCGCCTCTTAGGTGAAACATGGTGATTGTTTAACAGCGCATAGTAACAGCTGGTAACAGGAAGTGAAGAAAAATGCTATATCTAGCTGAAAGTGCAGGGGCAATTTAAAGACCAAAATGTTATTACCTCAAGCTGAAATTTGGTTAGAACACTAAAGCCAGCACTAAAATAACCATGGAATCGTGAATAATATTTTATATTTCAGTTGGATTGTGGGAAGGTGTGGAGGGCAGGGCAGAGCAGGGGTGGGAAGAAGTGGGAGGTGGGGTTGAGGGCAGAGAGGAGTTGTCCTGGGCCCTGCCCGCTGTGAAGGCTGGCACTGCATGGGGCAGTGGAGCTTAAGAATCCCTGTTCTATTGATTTACCCATGCCATGTTTGATCCTCCTCTGTGAGCCCGTCTCCAACAAAGAACAGGACCCCATGCTGAACTTGTAAGATCTGGCTGGAATGTAGCACAAGGTGACAGAGCTCCAGGCTGCTCATGTTCCTGTGAAGGATAGTCATTTGGAGGGGGTAGGTTTTGTTGAGGGGGGGGGGGGGGGGGGGGGGGGGAGAATAGAAGAGAGGCCTAGCTAAATATAGTAATAAATACACAGCATGCTCACCAGCACACCAACCAACTGGTGGTGGCAGCTTTCATGTAATATCCAGTAGCATATTCTGGAAGGCAATATAGCATATAATGGCACTGGGGCCAGTGTTCAGACAGTGCTGTGTCATTCCAAGAAATCCCCCTTCTGAGACATTGGCTCAGAGCATTACAAAGAATGGCCCATGATTCATATCCAGGCCAAAAGCCTGAAAGAACTCACCAAGTCTGCAGGGAGCAAAGCTACACACACCCAACAGTCTGACAACACAACTGAACTCCTTTCAGGGGTGGGGAGAAGGTGTTTCATTTTCTAAACCAACTGAAAAGGTAACAATAGTCTCATTAGTAACAGCACTACAATTGGCAGGTATTTTTTCCCCACTCTCCCTTCCTTTTCTGTTATATATTTTGAAGATCCCCCTTTCTATTCCCCACTCAAGCTCCTCTGAGGAAGTGGGTTTTGCCCACGAAAGCTCATGATATTCTCTCTCTCTCTCTCTCTCTCTATATATATATATATATATTTGTTAGTTTCTAAAGTGCCATAGGACTACTCACTATTTAGTATAGTTCAGAAACACAAAAGGTTTAAAGTGCTGCAAAGCTTAGTATAGCTAACAAGGAGTGTTTTGTGTTTCAGGAAGTTATATTAATTACTCAGGATGTTATATTATTTAGTCAGAGCCATTGTTTGTACAGAAATAAACAGCCTTGAAGTATCATGTAAGTGATTGTCTGGGGACTGGCTGGATCATCTGCTATCAACCTGTGAGTGTGTGGTAGTGAGTTTTGTTTTTTTAACAAGTAACACTCGTGTTTGTGGAGTGTCTAAAAGGGAATTGTTTAGGAGTAGACCTTCCTGAAAGTGATTCAGTGTACATAGGTTTGAGTCACATATCTGTTACCCTGCAGTTACTGGTACGGGTTTCCAACTTATCTTGAGATAAGAGTTACCGCTCCATTTTGCAAATTGACTAATCCTCATTGTTGAAAGCCTCTACACTTCTCTGAAGGAAAGCTGAGGCACTGAGGAAACTAGTGCCTCCATTTCATGGAAGAATGATGTGATGGTTTAAAAAAAATAGAGGGAAGTTTCTTTCTACACTGTAACATCTTTCTACTGTGATTCCCACAGACATTCTGACAGTCCATTGTGTGAGGAGCACAACAGACCAGAACATGTTCTATCTGTCATCTTCACAAGAGACTAGGAGACTGATAATAGGATCTATATCAGAGCTGGCCAAAGTTACTGGCCCTCTGAGACACATATGACAATCTTCAGACATGCAAAAGTTGAGGTGCCTCTTCTGGGGGCTGGGCCTTGGGGCTTCAGCCATGCAAGAGGTGTCTGGTGAGGCTTGGGGCTTCAGTCCCACTCCCGCTGAAACCGCATGCCATGACAGGTGCACCCCAATGGACAGAAGCCCTGAAACTTCTCCCCCTCTCTGGGCAGACATCCCGACCGCACCACCCCATTGTAGTAAGATGAAGGCTTAAACCAAAGCCTATGTAGCACAGGCCTGGTTTAGGGCCTGTGGCCTAGCTAACAATGGACATGACTAACATAAACCAAAGCTAAGCTGTGACAAGAGGCAGGCCCCTGCTCACAGAATTTGGCACAAATAGGGCCGAGAGTGCAAAACACTAATTTGTAATAGGCCCCGTGGAACGAGGTTTACTGGGGCGGTCAACAATGGCTTCCCGACTAAGGGAGCGTCCAAACTACTGCGCTGTGCCGCCAAACAGCTGATCAACACATTGCGGCAGCCATTTTGATATAAATGAAGCTGCTTTTACTTAAATCACCACTTCATTTTCTTATGTCTAGTAAACTAATCTACATGGCTCCGTCGACGGAGCCATGTAGTCTAGACATACCCATACAGACCCAAGTTCAGGAAAGAGTCTAAAATGACAGCATGATGGATAGAGATGATCTAATCAAACCACGAGGTACAGGGTGATGGGTGGTATCTAAGAAGCTCAGAGGGTGGTAACCTCACAACAGCAGAGGGTGGCAACCTGATACGTCAGCAGTGAGGTACAATTTGTTTGTACCTGTATATAAAGTGGTGTCTTGGGGGGACAGTCTTCTTATGATGTAGGGGGCAGTGGAAATTTCCCACTGATTGAGTCATTCCAGGGGGACAGGGAGGAGGCATGAAAGAGCATCAAATATTTGGCACAGGGAGGCAGCACACCTCTTGAGTGCTGCCATGTGTTGCCTATGCTCAGCCATGCTCCCTGCATGAGAGTCAGAAGACAGAGAGGCATTTGGGTTATTAAATGACAAGGGATTAGAGGAGGATACAGAACCTTTGGGCTATCCAGATATATTTTGACCTGCAGATAGGGACAGCAATTTTTCTTGACCTCTTCTGGAAAATTACTGATTGCTGAATGGAGCAGTAATTTAAGTGCTCCTAGTCAGATTCGCTCACATCTGATCGCCTGTAGCGATAGACATAGATTACCACGCATGCACCTGGAGCCCAGTATTCGCAAAGTTTCAGGGAGAAACTTGAGTCTTGGGGTTTGGTTCATGCTGGCTTCCTGTTTCCCATCTATATATGTGTCCTTATGCATAGGAGAAATGCAGCCTGCCCTCTTCCATGCATCCACCTAAATATACAGAGTTGCATAAGTGGAAACAACTCTAATCATCACAATATTTGATTCTGAATCAATATCAACTCAGGTGGATGGAATAAAGAACAGAGAGCCAGGTCCTGCAAGAGTTGGAGCGCACGCAGCTCCTGGTGAATTTCACTGACTCCCAGGAGGTGGTCAGCCCTCAGTAGCATCAGGCCCCTTGTGTGGATCGTTATCATTAATAGAACACTCAATGCTCTTATAGCACTTTGCCGCCACAGGATGCAGTGTTTTACAAAGATGGGTGAGCATGATTATCCCCATTATTACATGTGGGGAAACCAAGTCACAGAGAAGCTCATTGTTACTAGTAGAGCCAGGAATAGAACCCAGCTCTTCAAGCCCTAAGCTGTCCACTGGACTACCTTGCTCTCCTCCTAAGTTATCTAGGAGGACTGAATATCTAGCCAGACTCGCTCAGAGACTTTGCTGAAGATCTGTCTGGGTGTAGTTTGATCTGCAAGGAGGCTATGTCCCTTTGGAACTTGCCGTGATGGATGATGATGATGATGATGATGATAACTGTAACAAAACAAAATAAAGTCATTGTGCAATTTTCTTATCAAATCTGTCAGCCCCATACATGGATCAAAATTGATTATATTTCAGTATTTTTTTTAAAAAGTCTCCTTTAATTTTATTTTAGGCTGGTGTCTCTTGTATGGGCCCCCTCTAAACATTTGAAAGCAGAGTTATTCATGAGGGCACAGTGTAGCATTTCTTTGTATTTATGGTTAATCTAAGCACTATGTACCATATGTACAGATGTTAGTCTCTTAACATGTGTATTATATACTTTTTTAACATTAGCTTCAACCCAGTACTGCACATTTCCATTTTTCAAACATACTCAAAGCATTATCACTACAGAATCCATTTTTCAAAACAAATTATTGATTTTTTTCTTAATGAGGAATTATGGCCAAATTCTATCACCCTTATTCACAAAGGGCTAAATTCTGCTTGCTATGCTCATGTTGAGTAGTACTTTACGAAGAGTCCCAATGGAGTATATGTAAAGTCAGGTACTGCTATGGCATGAGGAAGGGCGGTAGAACCCACCCTTATGCGATTTGCAGAATTTTAGGGTTTATTATTAACAAGTGTCCCAAGTGAACACGCCCCTTGAGCTGGTTTTAACTGAACAGTCACAACCTACTCTGAGAAAGGTCTACATATGATTAAGGAAGAAAACGAAAAAGCCTGTTGACTCGTTGATACGCTGCTGATAAGAAAAACAAAAAAAACCACTTAAAAAAAATCAGTTGCGTTTTAGTCCATGTAAGCAGCAGCCTCAGGGTTCTTTCTCTGCAGACTTTTGAGAAGATGTTTGCAACAATGCTGAAGATATTTGCAATTATAGCAGCCCTTTCAGGTGAGAAAAACAAACAACATAACTAAAATAGGAGATTAACTTTGCCAGCAAAATAGGAGTACATGAGAAATTTACTTCTGGCTAGAATGAAAACTGTGGGGATGATGCCAAAGAACGTATCTTGTGGAATTGTAGCAGTTAGAATAGTGATTTAGTATTTTGTCTTTAGGATACTATTTTATCATTACCTATAGTAAATTAATGCTTCGTTGCTGTAAATTGAGTAGGAGGCAAGAGTACGTTTTAGCATTTTCCAGACATCTCAAAATTAAACTTGGCTTTTGTCTTGTTTCTATGGGCTATATCCTTGGGAAATAATGACTTGGCAAAGTTAGGCCCATATTTAACTTTAAGTCCTTTAGACTTTATTCATTCTACTCACAAACTTAATGTGAAATATATATGTAAATCATTGTGCAATGTAGGACTTATACGATATATTAAGGCTTATATATTATTATTGTTTAAAAGAGATTGAATTATGCTGAGCATGAAGGAATAGACTTGTAGGAATAGACATTAGAAGCTTGATCCTGCGAGATTCCAAGCACATTCCATTCCCGCTGAAGAAAATGGAAATTGAGGGTACTCAGATGAGTCTCAGCATCTTGTAAGATAAAGACTTAGAGATGCCATTATTTTTTCTGGGGATCACATGAACAATTTAAGCAGTTACTCCCAACTTGTGTTTATCATACACAAGTCTATTTTTCTTTCAAGTATTGCTAGTTGTTTTGGAAATGCAAAGCAACTAAATGTTAGTAGAAGGATTCAGTGAAACTATTTGGTTAAAATTTAAAAATACAGATTTGTGTTTCAAATGGTGCAGATGTTCAGTATTGAAATCAGACTATGTATGCCAGTAGGGAAGATCTCTGCAACTGCCAGTATCAAGATAGGAAAATTACATTTATCTTGTTAAAAGACCAGGTGGCTGAGGTAATTTTTCTTTCTTTTGTTCTTTCATTCTTGACCAGCTTCTGTTGGTAAAAGAAACAAGATTTTAGCTCTGCAGAGCTCTTCTTTAGGTTGGGGAAAGACCTGTCACAGAGTATCACAGCTAAATACAGGTTGAACCTCTGAAAACCAGTACTCTCTGGTCCAGCAATATCTGTGGTCTGGTAGGATCATGAATGCTCCTGAACCAGAAAGCCTGGGAGCCTAATGGTAGGAGGGCCAGCGGGGCTAGAGCCTCACAAAAGTGCTGGGGCTAGGCTGGAGAGCCCCTGCAGTCCATGGCAGCATGGGGTTGGGGACCAAAGAAGCCTGGACCAGCAGCGCAGGACTGGAGAACCCTGGCAGTCCACGGCAGCACGGACTCAGGAAACCATGGCAGTGTGGAGCCAGGAGCTGGAGAAACCCAGCTGCTCGCAGCAGCATGGGGCTGTGGCCGGAGAAGTAAAGCCGGGGAAGCTTCACCGCCTGTGGCAGCGCAGGTCCAGAGAACTGTGGCAACACGGGGCTGGGAGCTGGAGAACCCTGAATGCCCATGGCAGCCCGGGGCTGAGATGCCGGTGGCAGCAGGGTGGACAGCACGGCTGGGGAGGGGAACCAGAGGCAGGGGACTGGCTGGCTTGGGGCTGGCGGCAGAGGATGCCTCCCCTCATCTGGAAAATTCTCTCGTTTGGGACTAGTCAGGTTCCAACATTGCTGGACCAGGGAGGTCCAACCTGTACAAGGTGGGACAGATCATGAAGCATAAGGAGTTAACTCAGGTTACAAAAGCCCCTTCAAAATGAAGTGGGCAGTTAACACCTCTGCATTCTTAGGACAAAAGGAGAGTGAGATCACGTCTGTACTACGTCTTTTGTTACTCAGGGGTGTGAAAAAATGCCCCTCGGCAACATAAGTTACACGTACAGTATTGCTGCTATGGATGGCACTATGTCAGTGGGAGACGTCCTACCAGCCTAGAGCTGCTACACAAATAATCTTGCAGCTGCACAGCGGCTTTGGTAGAATACTATAGGCATGGCCTTAGTAGGTTACAGATTGTTGTAATGAGTTTCTCTATTGCATCTGTTTCTCTACTGCAACCATGATTTTTGGTGCGTAGCAGAGTGCTTGTCTTCCTGCTTAGTATCTTACTGTTAAAAACTATATATTAACTTTTTTCTGTAACAAGGAAATCTCTCATAGTTATGCGATAAAGCATATGAACAGATTAAATACTTGTAAGGAAAGGCTCACAAGTTTGAGCAGATAAGCTTTCTCACATGAGTAGTTCTTGAGTTTTTCTCATTGGCTACCCGCATGAGCAAGGATTATGTGACTGATCCGGCACTTGTTTAAGTTAATGGCAAAGCTCCCATTGATGTCAAATGTTGCTGGATCAGGCTCTTCAGGTCCAGTTCTCCAAACACAATGGTGAGCACTCGCTTGTTAACAGCACTGGCTAAGAGCAGTTGCACTGGATGAAAAAGATTGGTGGGTTGGGACCCTACATGGTTAATAGGGCTGGTCGGAATATTTCCAGCTCAAAGTATTTTCATTGAAATATGCTAATTCATTGCAGTCAAAACATGGTGCAGAGGTATATTGATGTTAACAATGGTTTTGACAGGAAGGTTTCTGAGGCCCAGCACTCTCTGGGCCCTTCTGACTACAGTGGCAGGAGAGGGAGAAAGAGAGAGAGAGAATCGGAAACCAGACATTTTGATGCCAGGCTGTTTCATGAAAATGTTTGGAAGATTTTGGCTTTGTTCTAACACAGAATAAAAACCGATTTAAAAACCTTTAAAGTTGTCTCAGAACAGAATTGTCATCCTCCAGCCAGCTCTAGGGGTTAATACCAAAGAGGATAGCTTCACACAAACACCCAGAGGGATGATGTTATTGAATATTTATTTTATGCTAGTAGAGAGGTCCCTGTGAGGATTTCAATCCTCAGTAAGAACAGTGCTGTAAAAACACATAGGAAGACATAGTCCCTGCCCGGAAGAGTTTAGAATTCATTTATAAAATATTTTCACTCTTTGCAGTATCTCATGAGGAAAGAATATTTATATAATTAAAATACCTCAGAATCTATGAGATTTCTTTTCACACTATGAATCATTCCCTAGCCTCTGTCAGGGTGACAGGGAATGGATGAGTCCCTTGAGGATTACCTGTTCTGTTCATTTGCTCTGGGATATCTGGCATTGGTCACTTTCAGAAGACAGGATACTGGGCTAAATGGAACTTTGGTCTGACCCAGAATGGTCGTTCTTATGTTCTTATCATACCATGGATTATTTGAGCAAAATGCCCTATTGATGTTAGTGAAGAGTTTTGTTTAAAATTTAGTGGCAGCCACCCTAAAGGGAAAAAAAGAACAAGTATTCCTTCAAAATAAGAATATTTTGAACTTAGTACCTCAATTAATTATAAATGGAACAATCCCATCTGGAGTATTTTTTTAATACAAAATTTTCACTCCACTAATTTTCACATAAGAAACTAGAGGAGCCTTATATTTTTCTTTAACACGGAACATTTTCAGAATGGACAAATGCACCATCAGAATCTTAAAGCTGTAGCTTGAAAATTGAGTTCAAAAGTATAACAAAACCCAACTCCAATGAACTGCTTTACTTGAATGATTTATTTTTGACTGACAGATGAAATGCACATTAGCTCATTGCCTTGTATAACTTTCTGGACTCAATTCCACACTCCTTTCCAACTCTGATATGCCTTAGTGTGATAACTAGGTACTCAAGAATATGTGACCAAACCTAGGCTTTGAAGGATTAAATTTTTACTTGTAAATGTTGGCAAATGTCAATTTTGCCATACATGCACAAATCAATGAAAACATATTTCCCTCGATAATAATTGAAATTTACAGATAGAAGTAAGAAAAATGCTGCTTGAGTACTTTTTTTGAATTTCAGCATCTACAGTCATTAAATTATTGTCTGACTGCCGCATAATTGCCCTAAGATTGTGGAATTGATAAAAACAAAAAATAATGCTTATAAAACTGAACATCTATTTTAATTACAGTAATTATTTTTAAAAATCAAATTTTGCCAACCCTCTCATGCCCATTGTGTACCAGTAATGTATAAGTCATACAAGAATTATTGACAGAATTACTGAAAAGTATGCAAATTATTATGTTCCAACTCTGTTATTTTTAATTGCAATAGACACTTTTAATTGTGTACAATATATTATTTATTTTTGACCTCCACGCTATTTATTTCACATGCTATGTAGTTGATCAGTTTTACAGAATTCCTTTAACCCCAGAAGGGGAAAACAATTAAAAAAATGAGAACTTGCCCATAAAAATAAAGCTGTCTCCCCACAACCTCAATATATCAACTCTCTATCTACTAGAAAAATAGTTGTAAATAATACTTAGTGCTTTTTACATTTTTGAACCACCTAATTAGCTCTTGCCACCTGCTGCCCCCAGATTCCATTTGGGAACAGTGCAAATGCACAGCTGTGCACTGGAACCTTGAGAAGCACTTCAAGAAGCTAAGCTATTAGCAGGGAAGAACTGAGAAAGGATGCTTGGATTCTAGGAAAATAGGTTCCACAGATTAGAGGAACCAGGTACAGCAGCGACTCAGGGCGGGAACTGGCCTACTTGACCCTTGGTGACAAATGTAAAAGAGATCTATGTTGCCTGGGGATGAGGGTGAAGATGACAAGGGACCCAAATCCACTAAAAAAATTTTTAAAAAGAAAAATAAATCTAAGTTTCCTAGGCTTGGTCTACACAACACTGTTAATTCTTTCCCAGCTGAGCGTACTCTGCTGCCTGGAAGTAAGGGAGAGCTAGAAAATCACTGAATAATCTCGCTGGGAAATAAACGTGCATGTTCCAGGCAGCAGAGAGCACTCAGCTGGGAAAGAATTAACAGTATTGTGTAGACCAAGCCTAGGAAACTTAAATTTATTTTACTTTAAAATATTTTTTTAGTGGATTTGGGTCCCATGTCATCTTCATCCCTCCCCAGCTACTAAATCTAGAACACTCACCCCACCACCTGGGAAAACAGTATTGAACCTATCATAGGTCCTTGCAGGGCAGTGGGGAAGAAGGGGAACCAGTCCAACAGAACTCAAAGCAGTGTTTCTTAGAGTGAGTTTACACTGCACCCTTACCTCGAAATAAAGTGCTATTCTGAAGTGTCCCTTAACCCTCATGGAACAAGGTTTACAGGGATGTTGGAATAGCAAACCCATTATATTTTGAAATAACAGGCATGCTCAAAAGATGCAGAATAGCTATTCCAGGATACTTCCAGTATCCTGAAATAGCTCTGCAGTGTTGATGTAGCCTTAGTGGGCAGCAGCTTCAGACTGATCTCTCTTCACAATGCTTATTCCTTGCAGGCCACATCAATGGCGTGACTGTAACAGTGCCCCAGAGCATGGTGAATGTCACTGTTGGTGGAAATGTCACTCTTCTCTGTACCTACAAAACAACTGGGCCTCTGGATTCACTTTTCATTCAGTGGAGTTTCTACAGTGCTAAAGAGAAACAACATGAAACAGTAAGGAGAGATTTAAAAAATATATATATTTAGCTATTTAAATATATATGTAAAGGTATGTATTGTCTATCGTCCATATATTACTCCCATTGCCAGAATATCCTAAAATCTTTAATGGATTCATCCTCACAATACCTCTGTGACGTAGGAAAGTGCTAATAGCCCCATTTTACAGATGGCAACTGAGGCACAGAGAGACTGACTTGCCCAAGGTCACACAGGAAATCTAGGATGGAGTAGGAAACAACCCAGATCTCCTGAGTCTCAAGCTAATACCTTAACCACTGTCTGTCTGTCTGATGTTGTTTTGAACACCATAGGTTTTTATTTTTCTGATTTAAGATATTGGTAGGATCTAGGAACTGAAAAGAACTAGAGTTTCATATAGTGGGAGGCATCTGTATTCCCCATTTTAAGGGTAAAATGAAATCTCTTTTCCCCAGGACTCATATCCCCACATCACTATAAAGTTTTCTCCATGTGCGGCTGGTATCCTAGGCGGGGGAGGTAATGCCTTCCCAAACTGCCAGCCTGGCCCCCATCTACACTCCACCCCAGGATGCCTACTTCTCTGGGGCCAGGAAGACTAGGGCCACATCCCCTCCTCCCTTCCCGGGGCTGGGAAGGCTGAAGCCGCATGCCCTCCTCCCTCCCTGATACTCTGGGGCCGGTGAAGCTGGGGCTGCGCCGCTCACTGTCCTTCCTTCTCTTTCTCCAGGGCCAGGGAGGCTGAGGCACATGCATTCACCCTCGCTGTGGTGGGGAGGGGGTATGGGGAAGTGGTTTGGCTCCCATGGAGGATGGGGCCTTGTCAGAAGGGGTGGGGCTGGGTGCTTGCCTCCCCCAGCCTTACCTTCAACAACCGCCCATGGTCTTTTCATAATATTATTCAGTGTAATTCCACAGGAAGCATTCTGCTAACTTCAGCACAGAGTGGGAAGATACTAGTCAGGGTTTGTTCCCTTCAAAAGGACAGAAAACATGTGATCAGTCACTAAGCAAAAATTCATTGGTGGGAAAGCCCTGTTCAGTACCTCTCAGCAGCACGAAGGCATCGCAGGAGCAGCAATATTCAAAGACATAATGTTTAACACCAGCAGGACCCCCAGATCATCTGTACTCCATACTCACCAGTGGCTAAAAGCAAACCACAGCTACCCCTAATCTATAGGCACATGAAACCTGACAGACAGGGGAGCTATGGTTATTCTGACATGCAGGGGAAATAGGATATGGGAGCCAATGCACTGGTTTTCCCACCTCTGTGTGCCATGGGACTCCTTCCCTCCCACCTTCTGTCCCTCCAGAGGCTAAATATACTCTGCAATGTTTTTGTGCAAAACCAGCTGTTTGCACAAAAACCCACGGAGCGTCCACACCTCAAATGCACTTTTGTGCAAGTACATCGACAGTAAAACGGCAGAAGAGAGGGCTTTTTCTGGTGTAGGTAAACCTCCTTTTATAAGGCATAACACCTTTTTGCACAAGAGTTCTTGCGCAAAAAGGCAAGTGTGGATGCTCTGCAGGGGTTAATTGTGCAAGAAACCCCTATGGGAAAAAGCACAGGTGCTCTGAGGGCCATTCTGTGAATGGATGTCAGCAGGGGCGGCCCATGCATATAGCCAACTCGGCCGTCGCCTAGGGGACTGTGTTAAATGGGGCGCCCAATAATGACATCACGCCATTGAGGGCTGTGGAGGTGGAGGCGCCGATCACACATTCCGCCTGGGGTGCCAGCTGCCAGCAGCCCGCCTCAGGCTGCCCTTGGCCATCAGAGCTTTCTTGCACAAGAGCATCCATGTGGTGTGGATGCTCTCTTATGCAAAAGCACATCACTTTTGCGATGTGCTTTGAAGTGTAGACGTGCTCTTGCACAAGAAGCCTGTAGTGTAGATGTAGCCAGAGTGTAATGTTTTGAGGTGAGGATAGAGATCCATCCACAATCCCGGTACAGTTGAAGGGAGGGTGCACAGCAGCCTTTGGTAGCAGGGAAGAGACCATTTTCCTGTCAGGGCGTGCACACATTTGAACAAGCAGATGACCATTCCCTGTTACTCTCCTCTGCAGCTCTAGTACATGGCCCTGCAGAATGCTTGGGTGGCTGGTGATGTGTGTGGACAACTTCCTATCCATCCATGCTTTTGCAGCTACCCCGGCCTTCTTCAGATGTCAGTTACTTCATCTTCTGTGTAGTAGAACCATTTTCAGCTCCCACTCCAGTATAAAATATCGGGTTGTGGCAGCAGGTGTTTTGTGGTCGTCAAGAGACTTCTAAACATGGTCTGTATATGTCACGGTTACTCTTAGATCAGTATTTCTTGCTTCATGGTTACATGCAGACCCCATCCCATGAGTTTCTGAGCGTCCTCAGTTCCCTCCAATTTCAGTAGGTGTTTCCTTTTCTCAGTGCCTAGCAAGACTGAACCAATAAGCAGCCACCTTTTCTTTGTATGAAGAAATGGTGACTAACTGTGTCAGTTCACTCTTTCTGTGCCCATGAAATACTGAGCTCTAGTGCCATGTTGTGGCACCTAGATACCCAGTCCCTTTGTCTCCTTGGCACAAATTTTGCTTTTTTACTAACATTTTTATTCCAGAAGCTTTAGGGGGTAGCCAAGTTAGTCTGTACAGGATAAACTGATAGAACTTTATAGACTAACAAAACATGAAGATAGTATCATGAGCTTTCATGGGCACAGCCCACTTCTTCAGATGACCGGAGTTTAGAGTTTAGAATGTGTAGACCCAAAATAAATAGGGGAGAATGAAGGGGGGCGGGAAACAAGGAGCAGAGGGTATGAAAATATCAAAGGGAAAAACAGGAAGACAGAACTGGCCATCAGTAAGCCCCTGAAGACTGGATAGTTAAAACAAAGCAGATAAGGATCAAAGGCAATAGATAGGAAGGGTACTAATGCAGGAATTTACACAAAGCTGTTTGTACCTTCATTGAATGTTAGGTTGATAATGTCCCAACCATCCCTCATCACGACTGAGGCCATCAGCATGAGACTTGAACTTGAGGATGATTTGTAATTCCAGTTCCAGAAATTCAGAGTTCTTGCTTTGGTGTTATAACTGAGGGTTAATTTAAATAGATGGGGTGATTTAATAGATAGGTAATATTGTGGTTGATCACTTTCACTGTTATACACTGTAAATGATATGCACTGGCAAACTATACCTGGATTATAAATTCCTTGAGACAGACATTGTCTGTATTTTGTGGATTGTATAGAATCTAGCACATCATTGGCATCAAACAAGGATAATAATATACATGGTTGAAAGAAATAGCAATTTAAAATTGAAGTAAAAGAACTACCTGTCGTGCTAGACCAGCAAATAATAATTTGATAGCAAATATATCAGTGAGAAATGCAATTATGAGCCCAACCCGGCATCCCTTAATTTATCAAGATATGTATATCATGCATCACCATAACTTATAAACTCCAAGAGTGACGAATGTAGACATTGCTCAGACCAGTAATTCTGCTATCGTTAAGATTGTTCCTGTACAGGTTGTAGGATCGGGTTCCATGAGCTAAAGGCAGTTGTGTGTTTTGTGAGCCCTGTATCATATGATACTTCAGTAGTCTGGTACATTCTACTAAAAGCTTAGGGTACGTCTAGACTACAGGCTTTTGTCGACAGAAGTTTTGTCGACAGATACTGTCGACAAAGCTTCTATCAACAAAGAGTGTCTAGACTACATTCGGTTCTGTCGACAAAGCAAGCTGCTTTGTCGACAAAACCCTGTAGTCTAGACACAACCCTAGATGCAATAACACCTTCTGTCGACAGAACTCTGTCGACAAAAGGCGTTATGCCTCGTAAAATGAGGTTTACCAGCATCGACAAAACTGCTGAGTTCTGTCGACGTTATGTCGACAAAACTCTGTAGTCTAGACACACCCTTAGTTTGCATTCAGACAGAAATTACAGCATGTGCTACTAGATATGTTTAGAAACCAGAACCTGTATTTTGTGTACATTAAATAATTAATGCAGAAAAACAAACAATGAAATATATTTTCTGTTCAAAACTCAAGAAAAATGAACAGGTCGATGTTCAAAGAAACAGCTTTGGGCTGAGGGGCAATCAGAATCTTTCAAAAGATTCAGGCATGTGGAACTGGTGGTGAGAAAACAGCACCTGAAGTTTCTGACCAGAATGTATTGAGAGTGGCTCAGAAAGTCACTACAAGAACAAAGTGACCAAGATCCTCAATGGTAGAAGAATCGCAAAGGTTAAGCTTCCTCAGGCTTCATCTTCTGCACTTACACACTTGGAGCTCCCATGAGAGCTAGTGCCCACCAGGAGGACTGCATGAAAAACTAGTGGGGAAAATTACATCTGACTTTCCTCCTATCAAAAACCAATTTCATAGTAAAGTCATTTTAATGTCATACCACACCACAGGCATCTTTGTAATGGAGGATGTGCAGTTTCATTAGATGAAGTGGAATGTGGAAAGTCTAGTATCTAATCCTGTTCTCATTGAAATCAGAGGCAGAACCTCTTTCAGCTTCCACATCAGTCTAATTAGGACTTTAGGCACAATCCTGCAAACACATACAGACTTCCTTTGACATCAGTGGTCCTACTACTGTTTGAAGTCAAGCATGTGTATGTGCCATTAATGCAGGATTGGGATATTACTCTTTTTCTTAAATGCTTTTAACTGTTTGTCTAGCCCTGAATGTTAGTTGGAGCCCTTCACAATAGCACTGCAATGCCTTACAGTTTTAAGCAAATAGAATATAAAATTAATTATGCAAATAATGGGAAGGGGTTGAAGGAGTATGAATAAGGTCGGTGGATTTTCACAGAGCTATTTGGAACATATACCCTTTAAAAGAAACTCTTCATACTACATATTTTAATATGAAATTAGTTTTTCAATCTTTCCTGAATTGTACATGTATCTTAAATTAAATTTCATATTATACTTTGATCCTCATCATCTGTTACTATTAGACAAAGAATCCATGGCAATGATACGTCAGCTCAGTGTTTATAGGGTTTGTAAGCAGAATATAAAAATGGTATAGGCTAAATAGAACAGTTTGGGTAATTCATCTTATGTTAAAAATTCTGTGGTTCTGAATTATACCTGTGCTATTCTCTATTGTATGTATTAACCCATTGGCAAAAGTTATCATAACATACATACAGTAGAACAGCACTATACAAGAGTACATTAAATCCATCAATAATGTAGCTTGTGCTATGCATTATAATGGTCATAAAATTGACCCATGTTGTCAGATTTCAAGTCAAAGCATTTCCCATTAAAACTTTTTTTTGCATTAAAAATGGCCTTTTGTCCTGAATAAAATTTTTTGTGGAACACAATTTCATTCCAAATGTATCATTTTTTCAAACACCCAACAAAAACTAATAAAAAACTAACCCCACAACACATAGCCTTGAATTTTTTCCAGTTTTCACATTTTAAAAAAGCCAAATCATTTTTGCAAAAAAAAGTTTTTCCTTTCTTCTCTTCAAAATCATCTGCAGGGAATATTTATCTTTCCCCATTCACTTGTAATTTTAAATATCTCTGACATTTTTAGCAAATTGTTAGACATGATAAGGAGGATCACATTCTACTCTAGTTACTCATGTGGCAGAACTACTTGTCTGAGTAAGAATAAGCACATTTTGCCTGAAATGTATAACACATACAGAGAAATTATCCTGAGCTGGTTGTAAATCAACATAGTTCTATTGATTTGAACAGAACAATGCTGATTTATAGTTGTCCACTTGTTTCCACAAGTGGCACTGAGTACTAGAGGAAATTCTGTAAACTTTAGGTTTGATTAAGGAAAATTATGTATCATTAAACAAGATCAGTGTCTCAAGGCATCTCTTAAAGTTGCCTTATCTGAAAGATATAAAATGATGCTGCCTTGAGCTATCATTGCTCTCATTTTAAAAAAGACACTATTTTAGAGCGATGGCCAAAATATATACCATATGGATATTGGGGTGCTATTATTGTAGAATATTGTGGTAACTCTTTTAACTGTAAGGCTGGGTCTGGCCCTAGTCCTAATGAAATCAGTGAGTCAGGAGTGCTACCAGTGTTAATTTAAGGTGTAAGAGTATATAATGATTATACCTGACCTTGGGTAAATAGTGCTGCTGGTTCACAGACTGCATTCAGAATGATCCCATTCTGCAAAGTTGCAAGGCTTCTTTTGCTATTTATTCTGGTGTTTTCATATCCTGTTCTTCTTTGCCAGCCATACAAAGGGCTGGCCACAGGTGCTAGAGAGTTAAAAGCAATGGCAGTTGAACAGGAGAAGATGAAATACCACAAGCAGGCTGCACAGAGACAACGCGATGAGTACGGGTGCAGCAAGCTGTATAATAGCAGGTGTGAGCAATGAGTATTTCATAGCAAACACATCTATACATAAAGTGTGACTCTGGTTCTCCTTTGCTAAGTAGGCCATGGCAAAATAGAACACCTCACCTAGTTCTTATCCTAAGAAGTTTCTTATCTCTTGGGCACTGTGTTACACTATTGAGTGCAATATGCATGAATAGAAATGAGATGTTAGTTTTTGTACTGATAATAGAAATGTAATAGGTTCCCCATCTTACAACCAAACATTGTAAATGTAAAATTAACAGTGTGATACCAATGATTATTCAGCTGCTTTTTCTCTTTTCCCCTGATCAGCATAGCTTTGCAGTCACTGTACCCTGTACTTTGATAGTGGTTTCCAGCTGAGGGAACGGGAGTTAGGTGCCTTAATACCTAGGTCATACATCACGTCAGTGGCGCAACCAGTGTGCAAACCAGAGCCCCAATCCTTCAAAGACTTACAGACATACATAACTTTACAAATTCTGCATGTAGCCCACTGATTCCAACATTAAGCATTTGTATAATAGCTTCAGAGGGGTAGCCAAGTTAGTTTGTGAGACTACTTCTACACTGCAGGCTTTATGCACAAGAATGGCTGTTCTTGCGCAAAAACTTGCAAAGGATGTACACTGCATGCTTGTTCTTGAGTAAGTAAATCTACAATACAGCATCAGAAAACAGGGCTTCTTCTGGAAGAGTTATTCCTCTCCCCATGAGGAATAAGCCCTCTTGCACAAGAGAACTTCCACAAGAAGGCAGTGTAGACAGGCAACATGAATTTATTGCGCAAGAAAGCCCTATGGCTAAAATGGCCATCAGAGCTTTCTTGCGCAAGAGAGCATCTACACTGCCATGGACGCTCTTGCACAAAAGCACCTCTCTTGCACAAAAACACATGGCAGTGTGGTTGCGCTCATGTGGAGGACTTTTTGCACAAGAACTCTTGCGCAACAGGAAAAACTTAAAAAACAACAAATAGTCTGGTAGCACCTTAAAGACTAACAAAACATGTAGATGGCATTATGAACATTGTGGGCTCTGCCCATGAAAGCTCATGATACCATTTGTATAAAGCTTGGAGATGGGAAACCCAGTATCCTGATGCTGCAATTGGCTCTGCACCAGCAGAGCCTGACTTAATTCTGCCACATGAAGTCACATATACAGTCAGGGCTGAAATCTCTTGACAATTGAAGTCTATTCTTAAATTATGTGGTAATGCCCCCAAGATAGATTAAATATGTGCAAGGTGGAATACAGAAGAGATTGTGTGGCTAGTCAAGCTGTAACTAGTGGAATACTACTGATAGCCAGGTTAAGTTAAAATATTAGAGGAATGATGGAAATGAATTTGACCCTTGCCATTAAGCTGCATGTTACATTATATTTAGTGACAGCATTTTCATTTTATACAAAACCAAGCTTGACTATTTGCATCACTGTCTTTGCAAAGGACCAGAAGAGAAAGTATTTTAGCAATAGGTGAAATTAATATTATTTTACATTTAATTTGTCAACTTTCATCCTGAAAGAAAACAAAATTCTTCCTGCTTCCTTACTATGAACAAACATCACTAAAGCAGAGCCACTTCTGGGGCAAAGGGGACCACTAACTGGAAGATAACATACTGCACATTGCACAACAGCTGGGGAGGGGAGTTTTTGGTTCAGGACATGATCTTCTGAAGGATTCTGAGACATCTTTCAGCAGTGTGCTGTTTGCACATATAAAACACTGAAAGCAGGAATATCCATCCCCTGACCCAGGGTGCTAAAAGTTGTGGCCATTTTTCATCCTCCTAAAACCCCATCGGCCTTCAACAAAGGGAGACTGACAGCACTCATTGAATAGCCTGTTAATGTTACTCCTTTGCAGCCTGGTGGGCTCTGTGCTGAGCTATAAGAAACACTCCCTGAGGGGCTATTCATGCTACCTCCACTTCACAGTCAGTTCCAGTTCAGGGAGTGAGACCCACCAACAGGAAATCACACCAATGTCTCTTGCATAGCTCTATAGACAGCTTACTAATTAGGCCCTCTCCATATTATAAGAAAACTTCTCTTGGGCAGAGCCCATTTTTAAAATTGGATTACTCAAATACAGATTTTGTTGGCCTGTACATGGGACTTAGATCACTGAGCTGGCACCACTGGACTGTTCTATGCAAAATGGAAATAAAACAGGTTCTAATTATGAGGGATAGGGTCAGACAGCGATCTGAGTTGTAACAGAGTCATACTGGGATAACACCACTACTGGAAATGGAAGTACTGGTTGAAATTCTCTAGTCCATCGCTTTCTGGTCTGGCAACATACATGGTCAAGCATGATTTTAGTTACCTGGATGTCCATTTATCATGGGCATAGCCACGTTTCCCATGGTCCCATAAAGTTTGTTTACAGCCACCAGTCCTGGCTCTCAGTGTTCTGTGCTGTTATTTAGTTCTAATTTACCCCTCAATGTCTACTAAGAGCCCAGTAAGCAATGGAAATGTTGGCAATGCTGATAAGGGATATTGACCCTCCATGGTTTGGCAAATTCTATAGTTCCGCACTGGTCAGGTCCTGAGGATGCGGGACTAGGGAGGTTCAATCTGTATTCTATATTGAAACTAGCATAACCAATTTCATCAAAGCCAGTGAAGTTATCCCTGATTGACACTGGTGGAACAGAGATCAGAATCTGGCCTGTAAAACAACAAGAAAAGTGAACCACAGTTTTGGAAAAAAGCAGAAGTACCAAGACTCTAGAGAGAGACAGGAACCAAAAGGTGATCAGGCTTTATTTGCAGTGCTTAGAGCAAACAATTACATTATACACTTGGTTTGTGCAATGTTAGACATAACTCAGTAATAACATAATGGACCCTCACTTTACAGCTCAAGGTTTAAGACATATTGTGAAACAAGAGTCTGCCTACAAATGCTTCTGAACTACCCCGCCTTTATAACGCTGAAAACTTCATGGATTTTTTCAGAGCAGCTGTATAGGGAGGGTGGTCTGTGTTTTTATGTGAACATTTGAAGTCACATTAAACTCTTAGACCAGCACATTTCTACTCAAATACAGCATGCCCCGTGCCGCAATATTCAGAGTATGGATGAAAAGTCAGTCAATCATTGTCAAAAGATGGTCTATGTGACAGATGCACGGGGAAGATGTAGCTGGAAACACCAAGTAAGTAAAAATAATCTTCAATAACTACACCGTTTCATTTTTTTACCAGCATGGAACAATAGAAATGCTCTTTATTGAAAGCCTAATGCTAATACAATAACTGAGGTGATATAAATGCCCTCTTTTGACTTTTGTTTTTGCTCTGATTTTTATTTCACTTTTCACAGCCTGAACATCAAAGTTATTGGGATGTAGTTTTTGTTTTTCCCACAGCAACTGTATGTGGCTGAACCAGTGCCTCACCTGCATGGTATTCTGTCCAAAGGGCAGTACAACATCAGCCTCTGCACTGCATCTGGACAAGCTTGGCTTGAATTTGGATTTCCCCACCAGGAATCAAGGGTTCACATTCTGATGAGATAATAGTGCAAGTTGTAGGTTGTGCTGCATGCTTTCCACATCACTGCACTAAAGAGAGGCAGCTTCATAAACAGAAAAGCACAAGAATTGGATGGGAAGCTGACGATTTAACTTTTTCAGTACAATCTGTTCTTCAGAACCCCAAACAGCCGCAGCTACCACACACTCTTGGTACAAGTGCTTTACAGGGCAAGAACTAATTTCTGCTCCCTCCTGCCTATGCGCTGACAGAGCACCATTTGTGGGAATGTAAATAGACCCATAGTGTTGTTCCATGCCAATGGAGTTCAGAACAGCCACCATAAAACAAGATGTAAGGTCATGTTCTGGTCTGGCAGGAGGGACATAGAAGATCTCAAATGTGAATGCAGAATTTGTTTCCTCTGAAATATCCACAGAAGCAATCTAGTGTTTTATCTCTAATCCATATACCTCCAGAACGCCTTTGGACATCAAGTGGGATTTTTCCCTCCAATCTGAGTAGGAAATAGTCACTGTATATTGAAGTTTAATGTGCAGGAAAACCCTGTTTCATGCTTGGTGCATGGCAGAAATTAGTCAGGAACATTTCAGCCACATGGATGTGCCATATGACTCAGTAAGGCTCAATCTTCAAGCCTTTCTGGCACCACTGAAAGGTGGCCAATGGCTGATTTGCATCCCTGATTTCCAAAGATTTCAGCCTTCCTCTGTCTCCTTGTTAAAAGGTTCTTAAGATGCCCCCCTCAAATTCTGACAACATGCAGCAGAAACAAGAGGCCTGCAGTCATAATTAAAATTTCAGCAATGCAGGGTATATGAGTCCTATCATTCTCTGGCAGATCACAGGCTAAACAAAAATGCATGCAAAAAGACACTATAGCTGCCAAAGGTAACTGGCATCAAATCCCAATCTCATGCAAATGATACAATCCAGAGTAACTTTAACACTGCATGACTGAATTCAGAATATGGGCTTCAATCTATGATAAGCAATTAAGCCTATGACATTTGATTTTTAACTGGTGTGTAAGATATTTAAAGGGAATAATTGCCAAATACATCTTTCCTACTGTTTTTTAATTCCCATTTAGACTCAGACCCTAGTATGATGCAAGGGCATCAGAATAATAAAGAGGTTGATATGGTTCCTCTCTGCCTTTATTTCTGACGTGAAAAAGAATCTAGCAAAGTAATTAGGGAAAAGGCTAACTAGGAAGTGATGAAACAGCACAATGTGGCTGGATCTTCTGCTCTGCTGGAAGTTTGCAAGCCTAGTAACATAGAATGAAATTGAAGTGGTTTTCATCACAGGTCGTGCCTTGGAATTGCATCATCATAAAAGAACTGGGTGGAGCAAGAGGAAAGAAGTGGGACAAGAGAAGAAAAGTATCCATGACCCCAAACAAGTCTATTGGGAACAAAACAAAATATGGGGGAGCTAGGGTGAGATGGTACAGGGGCACATTCCCAGACCCCTTTGAATAAATGCTGCCATGCAGACTCAGCTGAGATGGATAAATACACATATAAAATGAAGCCACCGTTCTCCTCTGAAAATGAGGAAATACCTGATGCAATTGCTTCTGTTTGAGGGGAGAGGAAACTGATGGAGGCAAGTCTCTTCTTCGCTGAGCAAGACAGAGATTCAGAAGGGGCCAGATACACCTGCGAGAGGAAAGAGTTGGATTGAGGACTCCAAACTGAGATTACTCATTCTCCACCATCGCTACTGCTGACTCTTCTGCTGTCAAGCAGGGAGCCCCAGCAAATCCCCACATGGGCTCAGCTTTGCCTGTTGAGCCCAATTTAGATGAGTCATCATCTCACCAGCCACAGAGGTGGGAGAGCCAATATGTGGGAGAGGGCGCTGGCTTTCTTAAGCCAGTGGGAGGGAATGGAGGGAGAAGTTGTGCGTCTTCATGCCCTCCCTTATTTCAACCCGTTTGCAGCCCAAATCACAAGCAAAACCACAAGAATGAATTGCTACAACAGCCTGCAAAACATGGTCCACTGAATTCTTCTCTCATTTCACCAAGGTAAATGAATCTCTCAGTTCTACCAACTCCACAGACTTTGGTCAGCAGGGAAGGAAAAATGTTGGGGAGCTGGATATGAAGTCACTTTGATAGCCAGGCAGATGCTTTCCTGGAACCAGGGCCATTTGGCAGAGGCTATGCATGAGAGATTGGACAAATGAAAAATACTTCTAGGAGTGAGAAATGTGTCCGTTCATCAATTCACAGATGAGTCACCACAAGCATCTGTTCGTGTGAAAAATGGAAAGGCTTCATTTCTTCCTGACACACGTATCAGCAAACTAACCTCCAATGAGAAGAAGCACAAATACAGTGTGTTATGAATGTTTTACTGACTAGGAAATCATTTCACCAGTGCCCACACACTCAGCTCCTCAGATTTGACCAATGTTCCTCAACTAGAGCATGGTGCAGGGACATAAACTGAGGTCTCCTCTGGCAGCACTAAGCATATTTTCTTTTCTCCTTTTATGAAAGTCATTAAAACCAAGGTGATGCAGGAAAAGATGGTGCCCAGGTTCTGGGCAGCTGTTGTACTACATGTGCAACAGCCAGCCTCAAGAAGGACCTTTCGCCTCCCCCTCATCGGATTGGTTCAAGACCATCATAGTGAGGGAGGGCCCCAGCTTCATAGTTGCTTGAACACCTCGCACTGGTTAATCAGTGGAATGTGATCCAATTGTTGTTAGGGTAGCAACAGATGGACAAGGTGGCAGAAGTATCAACAGCCCTGCTCCTACTTCATGTCAAAATAGGGCAAAATGCGCTTTGGCTAGTCTGTGACTCTGGGCAAATGCTCCAGAAATCTGCTGTAGGTTACTGATGTGCCTGTTGTGTTGTTTCATGTGGATTCTCTGGGAGCCTCATGTACTTCCGTAGCCATCATAATAGACTATTCCATGTTTTTTAGTAGCAAGAATGTCGCCCCCCCCACCCTTTCTCACCCAAACACACCCACACACATTGTCTAATTCTCACACTGATTTTACACTGGTGTCATTCCATCAACTTCATCACAATTGTTCCTGAATAACACAGGGGCAAATGGAATCTGAATCAGGCGCTTTGGGTCTGAGTTGCATATAACAAGATTATCATGTGATGGGTAACATTTTATGAAGACTCCATCCTGATCATATAGCTGGATTTAGGTCTTTGGAAAGCCATTGTTGTTTTTTCCCCTGTATGTCTCCAGACTCTTAGAAAAATATTCTGAACATGCCCTAACTTTATTTACTTATTTAGTTTACAGGAAAATAAATTTTATTCTGTGTTTTGTGGCATGTCAAAGATGCTCTTGTCAAAACCACTCTCTTAAAGCAAAAGGTCCATTTTCCCCTTGGCTTGGCAATTTTTCCTTTTAGATAGTCTCAGAAATGAAGTTTGGCAAGATACAAACTTAGGGTCAGATTCTCTGTGTCACTTTTGTGCCTCCCATATTCTGGATTTGGTCCATGGCCTGCTGTAACCTGTGCTGTCTTGCAACAACCCATTAGGGACAGAAAAGCTTGGCCGCGTCCAAGGAACACATCTGCTTTTTCAGAACAGTTTCCAAAAAAGCAGATGTGTTCTTTCAACATCCCTGTATTCCTCTTGTGGAGAGGAATAAGGGATGTTAAAAAAGATGATTTTTTTCTGAAATTTGGCTGTGTGTAGATGGGCCAAATTTCAGATAAGACTTTTTCAGAAAAAAAGTGGAAAAAGATACGGAAATTGCAGTTTGCAATTTGCGTATCTTTTTCTGACTTATCTTGGCAGCATAGACATAACGTGAGTGTTTCAATTAACCCCCTTGAAGATATTACAGAAGACTGAAACTTTTTAGTGGAGATGGCCAGCTTTTTACATACAAAACGTTGTGTTTTTTTTTAAAAATGAAAAATGACATCCATGAAAATGGGCATTTCTGCAAGGAACTGTCAATTTTCCAGGAAATGTTTGGGATGGTTTAACTCTTGAAAACACTAGTCTGGGAGGTAAATGGAAAAATATTAGCTGGAACACACAAACATTTGCAGTAAAACCAGAACATTTTGTGGGAAGTTCTCTGAAAACATCCACTCATGTAGTGGCAGTCAAAAAAGCAAGCAGAATGTTGGGGACCATTAAGAAAAGGATCAGTAGTAAGTCAGAAAATATCACACTGCCTCTATTTAAATCCATGGTATGCCTACAACCAGAATTCTGTGTGCAGCTGTGGTGGCCTCACCTCAAAAAAGATATATTGGAATTGGAAAAGATTCAGAAAAGGGCAAAAAAATTATTAGGGGCATGGAATGGTTGGCATACGAGACAAGATTAAGAAGACTAGAACTTTTCAGCTTGGTAAAGAGATGATGAAGTGAGATATGACAGATGTCTATAAAATCATGACCCATGTTGAGAAACTAGACAAGGGAGTGATATTTACTCTCTCTCAATACAAGAACTAGGGATCACCAAATGAAATTAATAGACAGCAAATTTAAAATAAACAAAAGGAAGTATATCTTCATGCAATACACTGTCAATCTGTGGAACTCCTTGCCAGTGAATGTTGTGAAGGCCAAGGCTCTAACATAGTTCAAAACAGAACTATGGAGTATAGTTCCATTAATGGAGAAGAAATAAAGAGCTGACCAG